TATGCTGCGTTTGCCTGGGTTAGTATTCTGAACATTTTGAGCCTTTTGTTTAACAAATTTTTCATAAATCTTTTCTTCTCCTGGTGCGGGTCCTGTTATTTATCAAATGAAATTTAATTTCTTAAAAAGTAAATATCTTTGCAACTAGAAGTAGATACCTAAATTGTTCAAGACATATTCCGCGGGTTTAAAAGAATCGAAAGGAGATGACTGACTGTTTTGGTTAACTGAAACTCTTGACGTGCGGTTCACCGGTGTATTGTAAGTTTTGGCAGGCGAGCTATAATATGAAATATCTCTTGACTCCATTAGTGAGTCAAATAACGAACGATAATTACAGTATTTATATGTGTTAGTAGATCCTAAATTTGGATTGGTTATTCATTTTCTCAATTTTGGATTGGTTTGATAGAAACAATTAATCACGTGAAACCCAAAGGACAATTACAGAATTGCTGTTCAGTTCAAAAATGAACTAATTATTAGGTACGTATCTAATTTGACATATAAAGTTAGTTTTAATTATATTGTTTATAAACAATGTTGATTAACCTTAGGTCTTCGCTCAGCCTCTTTTCAATTCATTTTCCGGCCACGTATCCCATTGTTTCAAGTGTCTTTCTTGATGCATTAGAATAATGTAAATATATGATTTGAATCAAAAATGATATTTTGAATGTCTGTAATTTACATCATAACACACGTATGGTTATTATAATACTGTAATACGTACAATACACACATTACATATTATGATCGAGTCTAATAAATGGTTTAGCGCATCATTTCGTATTGGGTTTACTAATTTCCCCACACTTCGCTATCGGAGTACCATAAAACTGATTATCGCTGTTTTCGAAATGGTTGAAAATAGCAGATAAAAAATTATTTGGGTGAATACTGTGAATACTCGAATAATCTTAGCACATTGATTAAAGGTCGATGCCCCGAATTTACATTTCGAAAACAGCGATAATAACACACTCCGATATGTGAACCAATCAGAAGTGTGGGAAAATTAGTAGACTCTTTCGTATTGATAAATAAGTTACCCATCGGTAATTTACTATGAGGTCGTTCTGAGATTAATGTCGGCCAAAATTAATTTTACCTCCGCAGTAGTTTGGTAACTTTCCCGGTAATCTCTTCGCTCCGCCTCTCTTTATTATAACATTAAAAATTTTTTTTAATAACTTTCGGTATCATTTCAAGCTTCACAGAACATTTATTAATTATGTCGCGTCATGTTGCAGAGTATTTTGTCTTTAAAGACTGTGATTCTATTAGTCAATTATCATGTATTGATTGACATAAATTAGCCAATCATATGAAAGAGAGTATTATCATGAGTAAAAAATTCAAAAAAAAAATCGTGGTATGTAATTTGCACGAAATTTTGTTAATTATAAAGTCGATCTAAAAAATGGTATTGCTTGCTTACTTTTGGAATTAAATTATTTAGCTCTAGCTTTAGCTGGCTTTTTATAATAGGGGAAAGCGAAGAAAACAAGAAGGTTTGCCGAGGTTAAACGCTTATTAAATCCTAAGGATTCAAGATTGTGAGCTATTTTTACGTTTATTTATAGGAGGCTATATGGTTTTATTTGTGAATCAAGCCATAATGGGATTATAAATCGAAAAAATTATACTAATTTATTACTTTCTGTTCGATATTAGAAAATCTGTACAAGAAAAACAAAAAAAGAAAAATGAAGAGAGAGAAAAAGAGGCTGTTCGAAATGTGTATGCTTTTCAAATTTTAATGTTTATCTTGAAAATTAGTTGTATTCACGAATTGATCCATCTGTTTTATACACAGGCCACAAGTAGCCTCTTCTTTATTCTTTAGACATAATACGTCTTTAGGTCCACCTTATCAAATTTTAGTGGATACAAATTTTATTAATTTTTCAATTCAGAATAAATTGGAACTTGTACAGGCTATGATGGATTGTCTTTATGCTAAATGTAAGTTTGCATTTCTAAATTTTCTTAATGTTTGTTATTATTTAATCGATATCTTTTCAATCAATTAGGTATACCATGTATCACGGATTGTGTAATGGCTGAATTGGAAAAATTAGGACCGAAATACAGGATAAGAAAAGATTTATGAAAAATTTGTTAAACAAAAGGCTCAAAATGTTCAGAATACTAACCCAGGCAAACGCAGCATA